AAATTAACAAATAAATTAACAGAATAAAATAAATATAAAAATCAAAAATGTCTGTAAAACGTAAGAATTGTAGCTTCATTCACAATTTTCACTGAAAGGAAAACGTCTGATCGTACAAGATCACAAAGAAAACAAATAAACTGATATTGCACCTCAGTAACAATATGCACAAAAATAAAAAATACCTAAATAAATCAATCCAAGTGTCCCAGGTTAAAGTTCTAATTACACAAGTACATTCACAAGATGTCAGGTCCAAAAACTCACAAATGAAAGATACCAGCTTAGAAAAATAGAGCTTTGTGCCTTCATTACAACAACAAAACAAATCACAAAAGTATAAACAAGAACAACAAACATGTGATTTAAAACAAACCTGTTTGGTTAAGTAAGGCACCAACGAAGAGCAGCTTCAGCTCAGAGGGGTCTTAGTGGTCCACWTTTACAGACAGAACAGCACAGAGTACATGAAAATATACAAACATCTGTAACATGTGCAAAGTATTTCAGATAAATAAACCAACTTCCACAAACACATGTACAGTGTTTGTTTCTTCTAGAAGAACAAGAAGCTGGCACCAGTTACCCTGGACATGTCCAAATGTCAGAGACWGGACGTAATATGGCAGGAAGAGATCTAAAATGTCAGATTTTCAGACAGAACAACAATAACTCCATCTTTTTAACAACTATTATCATGGCATTATCCTGACACTACGGCTGTAAAAAATCAAAAAAGGAAACCTTGTTTTCTGTTTAAAATTGTTCCTCAAAGAAAACATGATCGGTCCCAAACAGGACCTTGTTTGTATCCTGTTAGAGCAGCACATGTGACGTTTTCCCCTCCAACACATCTGAAAGCAAAGACCAACTCCCAGACCACCCATGAGGATGTAGACCTGCTCAGAGGTAACATAACACAAAATTTAAAGGTTTTCAAACGTCTAAGGACATAATAACTACTCTGACATGTTTTCAGAAAAGCTGTGGCCTTTTTAAAGGTTTCCTCCTCCTATTTCATTAGTAAGCATATTTCCAACTGTAGTCAGACTGATTTTAGGCTAAAGACTAAGKTTTAAAAGGACTGACAGGCACTTGTTTATTCAACCTACAGAAACCAAACATAAGAGCTAAGGAAGTTGGTACAACAGTGATTCCTTAGTTCCTCTCTGAGTGCCAGTGGAGTGTACGTCTGTAGAGTTGGGATGAGAGGCAGAGTGGGTTTGGTTGAGCAGATGSGGCTTCAGTTCTTCATCAGAATTGGTTCTCCTCTGTTTGAAGTCTTTTATCCAGAACAGAGCAGGTTCTGGCAGAGCCATAGTGCACTTCAGACGTAAATCGATGCTTCAATGCATGTGTGTTAGAATGAGTGCAYGTGTAAGTGTTTCAGAATCTGAGTGTACTCAAAGTGCTCAATGCTCCTTCAACCTGCAAAGTAGAAACAAACATTAACAGCAGCAGAAACTTTGCACACATTTGACCAGGAATTTCAGACAAACATTAAAAACAAACACACAATTAATCAGTTTGTTCTAAGGATGCACTGATAGGAGTAACTGRTACTGGTACTGGTCCAGTACTGCACGAACGGTATTGGACCTTGTGTTCAGATACCACTGAAAATTATAGTCTGCAATGAAGAGTTGAGAAAAACAGTGGTCTTAGGCATCCACAGYTCTCTCAGCAGTAAATAGTGCAGCAATAATAAATGTGAGCACATTAGTTAACATGGTTTGTGCACAAGAATATTAGAGAGACTACATGTGTTACGTTACGTTGTTCAGATCAGGAACAAAGTCACACAGTGGAGGAAAGAAATCTGCTCTAAAGAGATAATCAGTCAGAATGAATTTGTTTGTCCATAAGCTTCAATTCATTGATTCCCTATAACCCCATGGTACGTACGTACATATATACGTACGTACGTACATATATACGTACGTACCATGAACAGACTAAAGATCTGTCAAAGGACTTCACCAGCAGATCTACACAAGGATAACATGGTATATATACATATATACGTACGTACATATACACGTACGTACATATATACATACGTACGTCCATATATACGTGTATATTATGTGTACCTGTATTAATGGCACCTGTTTGAAGTCGTTAACAGTATAAAAGACACCTGCCCACAACCTCAAACAGTCACACTCCAAACTCCACTATGGTGAAGACGAAAGAGCTGTCGGAGGACACCAGAAACCGAATTGTAGACCTGCACCAGGCTGGGAAGACTGAATCTGCAATAGGCAAGCAGCTTGGTGTGAAGAAATCTACTGTGGGAGCGATAATCAGAAAATGGAAGACATACAAGACCACTACTAATCTCCCTCGATCTGGGGCTCCACGCAAGATCTCAGCCCGTGGGGTCAAAATGATCACAAGAACGGTGAGGAAAAATCCCAGAACCACAAGGGGGGATCTAGTGAATGACCTGCAGAAAGCTGGGACCAATGTTACAAAGGCTACCATCAGCAACACACTACGACGCCAGGGACTCAGATCTTGCAGTGCCAGACGTGTCCCCCTGCTTAAGCCAGTCCATATCCAGGCACGTCTGAAGTTTGCTAGAGAGCATTTGGATGTTCCAGAAGAGTATTGGGAGAATGTCATATGGTCAGATGAAACCAAAGTAGAACTATTTGGTAAAAACACAACTCGTCGTGTTTGGAGGAAAGTGAATGCGGAGTTGCATCCAAAGAACACCATACCAACTGTGAAGCATGGGGGTGGCAACATCATGCTTTGGGGCTGTTTCTCTGCWAAGGGACCAGGACGACTGGTCCGTGTACATGAAAGAATGAATGGGGCCATGTATTGTGAGATTTTGGGTGCAAACCTCCTTCCATCAGCAAGGGCAATGAAGATGAAACGTGGCTGGGTCTTTCAGCATGACAATGATCCCAAGCACACTGCCAGGGCAACAAAGGAGTGGCTTCGTAAGAAACATTTCAAAGTCCTGGAGTGGCCTAGCCAGTCTCCCGATCTCAACCCCATCGAAAACCTTTGGAGGGAGTTGAAAGTCCGTGTTGCCCGCCGACAGCCCCAAAACATCACTGCTCTAGAGGAGATCTGCATGGAGGAATGGGCCAACATACTAGCAACAGTGTGTGCTAACCTTGTGAAGACTTAAGCTGCGTTCACACCGAAYGCGATTTCAGCTTCAAAATCGCAGCCAACGCTGAAGTTTGAAGCTTGTGCACTTTGAGGTCAGACGCAGGTCAGCTCTTGAAGCGCTGCACGGCAGAGCCTCCCCGCCCCTCCCTCCTCTGTCGGGCTCTGTTTAATGTCGGACGAGGAAGTGGCTTTGCTTTATTTACAGAGAGCCAGAGCATGTCACGTTCATCAGATAATTAATTCATAATTAATTCACCAGATAATTCAGAGTAGAGGCTCACAGCTCGCTTTCAGGACTATTTTTCCAGTCTGATGAGTCGCTGTCAAGCATTGCTGCGGATCAGGACACCGACTGCAGCACTCATTTCAGCTAAAGAGCTCCTCTCCATCTGTTTCAGGTTAGTGGACATCATTCAGTAAACTGTCCTGTCAGGAAATATGTCACTACGTCACACAGTGGAGTCTCTCTGATTGGTTGATGCGGCGCGTCAAGCTGCAAAAGTTCAGATTTTCTAACTTCAGCGATTTGCGCCTCAGCGCGTCGAACGCTCAGATCGTTCAAATCGTTCAAATCGCGCTGCTCTAATCGCGCTTGAGGCGCCGCAGAACTTCCCGACGTTGATTGAAGCGCGTCCACCATAGACTTTGTATGTAAACCTGCTGCTCCTGACGCTGAAATCGCGTTCGGTGTGAACGCACCATTACAGAAAACGTTTGACCTCTGTCATTGCCAACAAAGGATATACAACAAAGTATTGAGATGAACTTTTGTTATTGACCAAATACTTATTTTCCACCATTATTTGCAAAAAAATTCTTTAAAAGTCAGACAAAATGATTTTCTCAATTTTTTTTCACATTTTGTCTCTCATAGTTGAGGTCTACCTATGATGTCAATTACAGGYCTCTCTCATCTTTTTAAGTGGGAGAACTTGCACAATTGGTGACTGACTAAATACTTATTTTCCCCACTCTATCCATCTATCTATCTATCCATCCATCTATCCATCTATCCATCCATCATTCATCATCCATCCATCCATCCACTTGTCTACAGAATCGGTTTCTTCCACCTCAACCTCTCCACTACCATGAACAGACTAAAGATCTGTCAAAGGACTTCACCAGCAGACCTGCACAAGGATAACATGGACCACAAAACCATGAACAAGAAGTTTAGTGGCAAGGTGACAACTGCTGGTGCCATTATTTTGAAATGGATGAAACATAAAACAACCACCAGCCACCCCTTGATCTGGAGCCCCATGCAGGAGGTCTGCCCACAGCTACACTGGAAGAGCATGTCAATGATCTGAAGGCAGTTGGGAACACAGTCACCTGACCTAGAATGTCACTGGAGATAAACTGTGCTGTAAAGGACTSAAGGTCCCCCTGTAAAAAAGCCTGTGAACAGACCCATCATTAGTTTTCCAGAGAGCATCTAGCTCATTTAGAAACAGTTTAGGAGAAGCTGTGTGGTCAGATGAGGCCAAAACTGTCTTGGACCAGACCCTTCTTTCCTCAGAACACTGAAATCTGATCATGTGAATRCTAAATTTATTGAGTGGCTGAGACGGTCCCCAGATCTCAGCTCTTTAGAAAATCAGTGGCGGGAGATGAAGTTAAGAGTTACCAAAAAGGCATAAAAGATTCAAAAGGTTTCTTTAAAAAGGAGTAGAACAAAATCACTTTGTAACTTTTATGCAACATGTTGTTTTTTATTTCACTCTAACAAAATTAAAACAATATTTATAAATAAACATTTATTTGGAAGTGATAAAACTTACTAAASTGGCAGGAGATCAAGAAAAATGTTTCCTCCATTGTAACACACCGCAGTTTCCAAAGATAAATGTTTGTAGAAACCACATGACAACAAATGTCTGTATCACAGTCTGAGGTTAAAACTGCAGCTGGAGCAACAGCTAATCGTAAGAGTGTGGAAGGATAATAAAGACAAAAGCAGGACTTACTCAACAGCAGAGATGGGACGAGATTTAGACGAGGTCAGCTCCTTTACCACAAGCTGTAACAAGAGCTATACACACACACACACACACACACACACACACACACACACACACACACACACAC